TTCATTTAAGCATTGTACTCTCTGTTTTATGAGGTGCTGTTAACATAGAGAGTGCATGTGGTGAGCAAAAGCTGTGTCAACATCTGGACAGACTGCAAAGCTGAGGGTTACTGGCAAGTTTTTGGTTCGCACATTCCTGAGAGGCCTTCGGGTTCTCATGGGTCGGTGGGTTTTTAAGTGAAGGTGTCGGCTTGTGCTGCATTGACATGTGAGTGAGTGTGTGTGTGTCATTGTTTCAGCCTCACAGCTTCATTACTCTGGAAATGAGTCCAGTATTAGTATTTTTCTAATTTCTGATTTCCAGTTACAAGAGATAGTTATTAGTTTGAGAAAACAGTTAGAGGCGTACAGTATAGCAATATAATATATGATTTAATTTTGCTTTCTTGTCAAGAATGAGATGAGAGGATTGATATCACTCTAATGGCAGCAAGGGAGAACTTCAGTAAAGAATTGTCTTTTACCTTTGGACAGACGCATGGTAGCTTTTTCCGTGCTGGTTCCTGTCAATGTCCTAAACTAATCACATCACAGGATTAGGAGAACATCCTTGGGCAACAAAGAAAGACTAAGAAGTTATCACACATTTTCATGACACACACCTTTGGGCTAAGGGCTCCTATTAAAACCTTTGTAATGCACACATGAACTTGGATAATATTAAATAATTATCTAGAGAAATTAAATTGAATTGTTAATTTGCAACAGAGCCTCTGAAACCCTTTAATGACCATAGATCTTTGAGAACACTATAACTTGAGCACAGTGAGGCTCTGGCAGCAAACACTACTTTCCAGTCCCAACAATGTGCGAAGCAGATTGCTGATGATACATTTCACATCGTCTGTTCCAGGGTTTCCTTAATGTCCTCATGCCAGGCACCCTTACATAGATAAACAGTTGATGACAGGTTTTATCCTTGGCTGTATCAGCTCGATTTGATTCTCTCATAAACAATAAAGACACAAGACGCTTATATATTCACAAAACTGAAAAGAAGAAAAGCAAAACAAAAGACAGATTAAGTTCAGTTCTGTCATATACTCTGCCCTAGATCTTACACACTGGTGCTTTAACATTTTCTTGCAACTAATAATAATAAACATTTTTCCTATTTACAAGTTTTAGGCAGGCATTACAACATCTGAACAGTTTAACCATACAGTTACTAGATTTGAGATGACTTCACTAACAAATCTGAATTGTCAGCATGTGTGAAAAGCTCACAATCAACTGCAGATTGAATATAATTTACATAGATTAAGAAGATTAGGGGTCCTAGGATGGATCCTTGTGGAACACCATACGTGACTACTCCTGATATGGTACCATAAATAAAATATGTACTGCATGTGATTATTTGATTTAAAGCAGTTAACTACGCAGTTATCATATAGTATTGTTATATCTGTCTGTATTGAAGTCCATAATGTGGTTTTATGTGATGTGACTGCTAGTAAGGAGAGTCAAACCCATCATTTGACTCATGTTGTGCCTGTCGGGTGACATTGTAATGCAATGAGCCTAAGCTAAGGTCAATTACGCTCATTTTAAAAGTTCATATATGTTATTATTATTGTGCCCCAAGACAGCTCACACAATATAATTATGCACCATTCCACTGCCAAATTGAAGGTCAGTTGTCTTGTTTTGAGCTTAAGTAAAGATTGGTGCATGTTCATTAGTGCTGAGTGAGCTATCCTGGGGCACTTGTGAATTCTTAAAATGGGTGGACTGCCTTTTGTGCACCAGAGTTTTACACAAAGAATTTCAGTCCTGCTAAAGGAACAAAATGCCTCTAGAGGAGCCGGATGTTCTGACACGATGGAGTATCGGAAGGCGAATAGTTCCCCATTTCATCAGACATGCTGGTCATGACTTGTGTGAAGACCTTGATACAGTAAAAATCAATACGGAGCAGCTGCCAAACTCACAACATCGGAGGTTTGAAGAGGAAGCAGAAGGGAGAGACTTTTGGCCTTCCTTTAATAAGCCTTTATCTTAAAAAATGTGGGATACACATCAGCACATGTTAGCCAAGCTGGAGCACCACACACACACACACACACACACACACACACACACACACACACACACACACACACACACACACACACACACACACACCTCCCACACAAGAGCAGAATAAAAGCAGTAACAACAGCGGCAGCAACACTTCAGTAGGACTGACAACAACCACCTAAAAAATCACAAACACAAACAGTGAAGCCCTCCTCCCCCACAGTGCAAACTAACTCCCCGTTCTCCCCCACAGCCCCCAGACATTTTTCAAAGCATATCATTAGTATCATTTCTCAAGCGGTGAAACATGAACTAAACCCCAAAGGCACTCTGAGATCGTTCCCCATAAACAAAGCCATCATGCTGCACATCAGGAGTCCTGGGACCCCTGACCTTACTCCTGCAGGTTGGCCAAATATCCAAATGGAAAATTTAACAGTTGTTCCACAGACTGCAGAAAACCCTCGAGACATTCTCCAGTTTAAAACAAAGTCAGTGTGTAAACAAGACAGTGGCATTCACAAATGGTGTGTCAAACCACATCAAAAACACAGGATGGGCGATATCTATTCCTGTTCCAAAAAACAATTTGTAACCATGGCACCATCCTCTGCTTTAAATCACCAGACAATTTAGGAAAAAAGGCACCTGGTACTGTCCTCTAAACCTTGTAGAATTGAGGCTCTTTGTCGAGACCTGGAGGTTTTTAACAAGAGCGGAGAAATCAACAGCATCCATTCCTTGAGAGAAAGAGATTGTTCTGTTATCGATCCGACAAAATGGTGCAATTAAAACCGTTAAAGGAAAAAAGGGGTTCTAACAAAACTGGTGACACTGATGATGTAATTGAGGGGAGGGAAACCTGGGAGAACTTGAGGGTCAATCAGGCAGGGCTGATCTAAGCTCTGGGTGAGATTGTTTGCACCTTTATGACCCAACTGCTGCTCCATCTTTACAAAAAAAACACTGATATCACTGTGTATTTTATATTTTTAGGTGCAACGCTTACATTTTAGCACCCCAAATCTCTCTGGCATAGTCTCAGATTATCCGTTTTATGCTAAAATGCTGCTTTCGCTTGCCTCCACGCACTGAACAGCTCACTTAGGGCAATATTTTGTGCCAATAAATGCAGATGTTTGCTGTTTTTTTGTGTAGCTCTTGAGAGTCTTAAGTGGTTTCCAATTTGCAATTACATCCCTATCTCTCTTAACCCCAACACCCACGCACGCCAGATTTCTCTCCACACTCTCACACTTGATGGATAGGCTACAACCTCAGCAGCATAAATCAATGATTCTATGGAAAGACGAAAACCATTGCAGGTGGTTTTAGGGCCCGCAGGGATTGGACACTGAGGATTATTTAAAACATAAAACAGCTAGGGGGCAGTGGAGAAAAGTAAGTATTTACACAAGTACTTTTCTTGAGAACAGTTTGTTGTACTTGAACTTTACTTGAGTGTTTTGGTTTTACACTACTTCTACAGGAAATATTGAATTTTTTACCCCACTACATGTATTTGACGGCTATAGTTACTAATTACTTTTCAGATTAAGACTTTACATTAACAAACATATCATAAACATGTAAAATACATATAACATGTATAATATATAATAATATAACATTATTGGAGATTCAACCAGTGGTTCCCAACCTTTTTGGCTTGTGACCTCTTACAAAAGTCTAGCTGGATGTATATGAGAAGGCTAGCTGTGGACCTTTTTCACAGGAGCCATATTGACCAATGATACTAATTAAGGCTCTGTTCCATTTAGTGTAGCAGAGCCTTTCCAGCACCCTGACTCCCCTGAACCTTAATTAGTGTCATTAGTAACGCCAGTGTTAACCCTACTATTTCATGTAAAAATGGCTGCTGTTCAAAAACGTCTATTACACAACACAAGTCCCAAAAAATTTAATGTGTGCAGCAGAACTTTTAAAGTCTTCTTTCCTACCCCATTAATCATCTCACGACCACTCAGATTAATTTTGTGACCTTTAATAGGGGGCCCTGACCCTGAAGTTGGGAACCACTGGACTAAACTAATCATATATAATGTAACCTTCTTAAAACCAGCTAAACCTCGAGCAGCTACGAAGTTCTGCTAACACTTTGATGCATTAGTATTAAAGGTCCAGTGTGTAACATTTTATCTGTTGGTAGAAACGAAATATAATATTCACAGGTATGTTTTCATTAGTGTATAATCAACTGAATATATCATCATATATATCAAACACTGGCTGTAGAGACATTTCGTGGCCAACGTAGTTTCTCCTTCATTCGTGGAACAGGAGGGTGAGGCTAGGGCATTGCAACTACACTGCTATATGCCAATAAATCTTACACAGTGGTCCTTTAATAATCTAATAATGTCACAGCGGCCATTTTTCTGCAAAACGAGCACTTTTATTTGATTGATACGCTACATAGAATCATCTCTCAATATCATCTTTTAGCTCTGTTTTTGGTCTCCACCAGCTCCTAAGAAAAACATCTGTCTCTTTAGCTGCTGAATGCTCCACTTTGTCTGTCTGATGCAGTGGGTTTTTACAGCCAACGACCAAAACAATGAGCTAAAAGGTGCTAAAGTGCTTGTGGAGGTGAGGGGAACTTTAGAGTCGGTTTAACAATTCAGTGTGGCTTCATCACTACACTTCCTCCAGCAGTAATAAGTAATTCCAACCGGTCCACTATACATTTAACCTCAGTGTCACTTTGAAAAATTTGCTATCAAAACTAACTTTCTCTAATTCAGGGAGAAGAACCTGGTGTCCCCCCACCTCGCAGCTCTGGATAAGAAGCCTATTCATGTGCTGCTTTGTACAGTGACAGTCGTGAGTTGAATGAGGAGAGAGGCAGAATGTGTGAGTGTATGTGTGAAAGAGAGAGAGAGAGAGAGAGAGAGAGAGAGAGAGAGAGAGAGATCTCAGTTGCCTTAGCAGCGCAGTTTCATTCCTTCACAGTCGGGCTTCAGTCCGGTGCTGTGAGCGCTGCGGTGCGCTGCGCTTTGCGGGTCTTCCACTCACGACTCCACGTTAATTAACCTCTCAAACAGTCCTTGTCCTCCACTCATTCCGCGGTGTTACCATTTTTATTTTTTATTTTTTTAAATCACTAAGTTTGGGCTTTTCTCCAAGTTTTCTCCAACGCCGCATTTTCTCCGGCTGTTATGAAGAAAAAGGCGACGGCGGCAAGTTGACTCTCCAGTTTTAAAAACCAGCCCGGTGCAGGTGCAATAACAGGCTGCACATCAGTATCCCGGCGCCGGAGAGGATGGCTCTGCAGGCGGCCAACGTGAGCGTGGCGGACGGCTGTGTGGAGCAGGGGAACCTCAGCATGGAAGTTACCGACTATAATATCAGCTGCACCAACAGCTCCGTCCTCCCCAAATCAGCCACCAGAGTCAGAGGTAGGATTTTCTTCTTCTTCTGCGCATCAGGCTGCCTTATCATGAATCACCCAGGCTGAGGTGGATGTATTTAAACTGTATTTATGCTTCAGATTGCAAGAGGAAACATCTGGCCCCAAAAACAGATGGGTTTGAAAGAACCAGGGTGTTAGACCTTATTGTTAATTCCTCTAATTTGTGTCTTATGTTGCTTATATTTCTAAATAATAACCACAAATAAGTTCATGTGTGACACTTCCTACAAAATAAAAGCACCAACCTCTTGGTAGAAAAGAGTTTAATTCAGCTTGATGATGTTGTTTGCCTCTAATTACAAACTGCCACCTATGACTGATCGCCTGCTTAAGTTGATTTACTGGTTGCACTTTTACCTTCTAACCATCACTGACTTAATTTTTCTACTACCCCCCCCACTGTGTTTACCATAACATGATTTGCAATCAGGAGTTTTGCTTAAATCAAGTTGCTCAGCCACATTGTAAGCAATCAATCAACCAAGCAGCCCAATTTGCTGCTGCCTCTCTCCCAGTCAATAATGACACAATCTGGATGAGCAGCAGTGTCAGTGTGTACAGGGAGGGAGGGAAAGGACGTTTTAATTCTGAATGTTTATTTTCCTCGCCCATAATTCTCAAAATGCTGACTACCCGTTGAGATTAAAACCCCACACTAGAGGAGATAAGGCCCCCCGAGCTGCGTCTTATATCAGGACACCAGTGAAAATGAAGGCCCTGATTGGGTAATGAGGTCTGAACGTGGGAGGAAGAGTTGTTTTTCTTAATTATTTTTTTTATCTCCCCCTGCAACTGCTGCAGAATGGAGAAAATTTCAAATCTTCCCCTCACTAAATAATTCACAACCGCTCCTCCTTCAGTGCTGCATTACTTTTGTTGACCTTATACAGGAGGCATGCTGGAACATCATCAGCAGGCCGGTAGGCTCAACTTCAGTGTTTGACCAAGAGAAATGTCCTGTGAACAGCCTGCTGCCTCCATCTCATCCCCCCTCTCTCACACAGAAAAAAGTCTTCTTTTTATTTACCTTAATCCTTTAGTAGGCCTATTCCTTCTCCCCTGTTTCCCTTCAGGCCAGGAGAGAGCAATGGAGCCTGATTATACAGCTGTATTGTTGCTCAGATGTGCTACTCCAGTGCAGGACAGGAAATTAAAGCCTCACCTTCCACTTGTGGATTTACTGCTGTGCAATCTGTTGAATTGGAGATTTTGTCCTTCACTTGCTTCTGATACAGTGAAAAAAAAACTTTGATGTTTCTGTTTTTGATTATATTGGAAAAATGTGCATAAATCACATATTCTTTCAACTTTTTCGTACAATTTACACTTTGAACCAAAGCTGCAACTGTCAGCTGTTTTTATTATTGATTAATCCGCCAGTTGTTTTGTTTTTGATTAATTAATTAATTGTTTGGTCAGAAACATCGCTGAAATGAATGAATAAAGCCTTTTATAATCTCCTGAAGGCCCAATGTATTGTCATCATGACCAACAAAGACCTCAAGATCTCCACTTTTATCACAGAAGATAAAGAAAAGCAGGAAAACTTCACAGCAGAGGAGATGGAACCAAAATGGAACAAAAATTGTTAATCAGTAATTCAAATACTAAATAAAATGCACCTATGAAAGTCAAGGAAATATATTTATTCATATTTCTACATTGTGTGTGCTGCGCCGGAGCACTGAGCATAAAGCAGTGACAGTTTGAATGAAAAATGTCACTTATATGCATTTACTTTTGTTTTAACCCAGAAAAAGGTCTAAAAGAAATCACACATTTTGAGTAACAATTCTCAACTTGTTTTGATAGTTGACAACAGTTGTAAACAGAAAGTGATGCATTTTACTAAAGCAATGAGAGCTGGCTTTATATGTGTAGAACTTATCTTACTATGATCATCCTATTTATCACATAATACTGACCTTTTAAAGATTAAATACACACTCAGAGGATCGATTAATAAGTTGATCTCAATATTGGAACCCATCATAAGATTGTTTTTCAAAAGCTACAATCACTTCCTGAAGTTTAGACCTTTATCAACAAGTTTTGTCTCCCGACTTTAGACTGCTGATCGTATTTCAAACAATTACTGTGCGCTGTAGGCTGCTGCATTACACTGCTGCCACCCCCTTACCTGAATTGCTTTGTTTTCCTTCCTCTTTCAGTAACTATAGATGCTATAGAGGGTTTCAATCTGCGAGGGCTGCCTCTTTAGGGAGGTGTGGGAGAGTTTGAAGAGTGGGGGGGTTGACGGGAGAAGATACCGTGTGAAGTGAAAGAGACAGGAGCATGCAGTTGTTCTGAAAACAATGGGAGGTTAGTTATTGTAGTTTGGCCCGATGAGCTGGTTAGCTGGCTACACACAGTTTTAGATTCTGTGTGAGTTAAACAGTCAGAGGTTAACAATATCTCTGATGTCCTAGAAAAAGACGCTCCTATATAAATCCAGAACTTGCAGGAGAATCATCACGTTTTTAAGTTTTCTTCACTATTAAAGTGATCCAGTGACATTTGTCCGTACATCCACGAGTTCATTGCAAACAGGAACTGCTAATAGCTAAGTCGGCAAGCTAAATGCCCAAAATATCATTATAATTCTGGAGACACAGACTGCTTTGTTTCATCTCTCGTCTGCAGTGTTTGCTGCTGCAATTGAAGGAGCAGCTGTAAAACTCCCGCAGCACTAAAACGAAACAGCACCTGACACACATCACATTACAGTAATCATTCAGGACTCTGGAGAGCACTTCAGTTCAGACAGGGCCCTGCTCATGTGGAACAACATCTGTAGCTGCACCTTGGCTCGGCCCCCGGACACCCTCTGTTCCCTGCTGATTCAAAGTGACACTTTGCTGAGCTCACCCTGTCCTTTTGAGTCCATGTGAGATAAGTTATCATGAAGTGGATCTCATAAGCATTAAATGAACGCTGTTTCAGAAGAGAAAACCAACCCTGGAGACTTATTACTGCAGGGGGGAACGGCTCAGGAGTTTCTAATATCTAACCAATTTTCTACGACGAGGTGTCTCGTAGAAGAAATTTGCATCTTTTCCCCTTTGGGTATGTACACGGTGATGTAGGCTGTCATAACATGATCACGGTAATCAGAACAAATAATTGGAAAGCTATGAAGCGACCTGGTGAGTCGGAACAAACGGCGCACACACGCAGGCACTGAGTCTACAAACTATTTGGAGCATCCTCCTTTCTGATAATGAGGTGCTGCCTCTTGTGCATAATCCCAGAGTTTAAAAAAAGACCTTCTGTGTTAGTGTACTGTACATTTATAAATGAAATAGTTCCCTCCATGAAAACATCGCAGATCATGACGCCTGTAGAGTGGGACAGCGCAAATAAAGATCCTGTCAACCATGCAATAGCTGTATTGAGCTGTAATGCCCTCTCTCTGCACACTGGCTTTATTAACTCGCGATAACGGAGGAGTGGAGGGAGGCAGAGCTGCAGCTTCACGGGGTTATCTGGTATCAGTTAGACTCAATTTCACTCTCAGTTAAGCCTTAGTCATGTGACTCTCCACTGTAGTATAAGTGACAAAGCAAAAAGCCCGACCTTATAAGACTGTCGACCTTTGTGCAACCATACATAACAAGGGTTTTTAATGGTTCTGAGATATAGGAGCTGTGATTCCTATTCCTATTTTTTTACTCAAACAAAGTTTAAGGTCTCTGTAGTCCAGAGAAAGTTCAATCGGTAATTGCACTCAATCGTGTCCCCTTTGGAAACCCCGGTGCCTCGCTGCGGGCTTTGTTTACATGGTGATTTATGGGATTGGAGTGGCAAACACCTCGGCTGAATGTTTAATTTGATAAGGAAATCCCTTTAGATGCAGCTCCTCTAATGGCTACAAGGAGCCGGTTGCAATGAAACAACACTGAAGGAAATAAGGGAAACGCTTGTTTAATCAGTTTCAACAAGTTCAGGTTCGTGTAGCTGATTTCACTTCCTTTAATGATTTAATTGCTACATCTGATCCTTCTGAAACGGGAGGACACTTTACACAACGAGTTCAGAACTTACCGTTCTTCATTAAATTAAAGAGAATAAAGTTTCGTTACAAGAATCAATTTTACAAATTCTTCTTTTTTAGTCCACATTGGAGAGAACATCCAGCTGCTGTTTAAACCCTCTAAATTCTGCATACAGCCAGATACGAGCCTTCGTTATTTTGAGTCTATCGCCTACAATTCAGGCTATATACAGTTATATTATAATTACTTCTATTCATTTGTCCTTTTTCTTTCCATTTTTTTAGTTTAATATTTATTTTGTTTTATTTTCAATTCTTTTGTAAGCCCACTTCAACGTTATGTCAGTACTGTCATTGTTTGTTGTCTTCTTTTGCTTTTGTGTTTAAAAAAAAAAACATTAATTAAACTGAAATGACTGCTCCATTATTATATTGTGAAGGGCTGAAGAGGTTTGTTTAGGGATGCTTTTGCCTTGATTGACAGGTTTCAGACTGTTGCACTCAGCAAGGTGGTTATTATACAGTGCTTTTTGACGTAGAAGTTACTTTAGAGGAAGAAGAAAAAGAAAGAGGGATAAAAGTGAAAGAGGATAAAGTTTTGAAGGAATATTTTGTAATTTTTTTGAAATACTCTTGTTTGCTTTCTTACAGAGGATGTGTTCAGGCGCAGTGTTGAGTGTAGGTCACCCACCTGTAGCGCGAGTAAAACGGGAGCCTCATAACAGCCTGTGTCTAGCTGTATTGATTGAAATCTCCAACTGTAAACACATAGTAGTGTAAACACGCAGATGCTGCAAAAAGCAAGAAATCGTTGGCATCGAACTTCATTCATTGACAGTAATCCGGTGTTTTGCAGACTCATCCAGTATCGACGTATTGGGTTGAGTTGTAAAAATCTTCAATTGATCTCCTCAATTAAAACTCATACATAATGTAGCAAGCAATATAGGACCACATCCGAGGCAATGTAAACCTCATGCAGCCATTGCTGT